TTTTTTTTTTTTTTCTTTTTTTTTTCTTTCGTATCATTCATGAGAGAAAGAAGGGGAGAGAGGATATGTGGGTATGTTGATCTGTGTAGTCTTCATGCACTACGAGGGGGGGGGGGGGGGGGGAGGGGGGGGAGAGAGATAAAAAACCTGATACCTGCGCTGGCCGCAACAAACAAAAAAAAAACAAGTCACACACACACACACACACACAATGCACACACACACACACGAAGCACACATCGCAAACACACACCATCCCTCTTCCCCTCCCCCCCCCCAGTAACAGACCGGGTGCTGCTTGATGCCGTCCTTGCCGGCGGAGTCCGAGCCCAACCGCTGCTTCGGGTCGCGCTGCAGCCACCCCGTCACCAGCGACCGCGCATGGGCAGAGATGGACGCGTGGAACTCAAGGGGCGCAGACAGCACGGCCTCAAAGATCTCCTCTTCGTCATCGCCGTCAAACGGCGTCTCGCCAATCATCATCTCGTATGCCATCACCCCGAGCGACCACCAGTCTACCGACACCCCATACGGCAGCTCCTGGATAATCTCTGGCGCAAGGTACCCCGGGGTGCCGCAGAAGGTGGTGGTGGTGGCTGCACCCCAGATGCCCTCCTTGCACAGCCCAAAGTCCGCCAGCTTTGCGTGGCCATCGCCCGTGAGCATGACGTTGTCGAGTTTGAGGTCGCGGTAGACAATACCGCGGTCGTGCAGGAACCACAGACCGCAGCACACCTCCGCCAGCAGCAGCTGCGCCTGCGGCTCTGTGAAGGAGCCCAGGTTGGATGCGTGGAACATGAGGTCACCACCCTTGATGAACTCCATGACGAAGTACAGGCGTTCCGGCGTCTGGAAGGTTGCGTAAAGGCCCGTCAAACAGGGGCACTCTGCGCCAACGGAGAGCACGCGCCGCTCAATCATCGTCGCCTCCACGTCATCGTCCTCAATCACAGCCTCTTTCGACAGCACCTGGGGTGCGTTGAATGAGTGAGTGCGTGCGTGTGTGTGTATGTGTGTGCGTGCGTGTGTGTGTATGTGTGTGTGAGTGTGTGAGTGTATGTGTGTGTGTGTGTGTGAGTGCGTGCGTGTGTGTATGTGTGTGTGTATGTGTGTGTGAGTGTGTGTGAGTGTGTGTGTGTGAGTGCGTGCGTGCGTGTACGTCACTGACCCCAAGAACAACGCAGCCCTGGCGAAAACACGCAGGTGCCCTTCACCCACAACACGCCAACTCTGCCCAATACCTTGACAGCGTAGATGTCCTTTGTGTCGTTGAGTTCAGCAAGCAGCACCTTTCCAAACGCGCCGCGCCCCAGGACCTGCAGATACGTGAAGCTGTCGATGCCAACCTTCTTCTTCCCGCCAACAGCACCGCTGCTCTCAATCAACTCCGCGTCGTCCACAGCCGGCACAGGCTCCTCATACGTTCGCTCTGCCCAGTGAACGCACGCGGGGGCGGACATCAATGGCAGCGTCAGTGAAACAAGTGAGGAAGGAAGCAAATGAAGACGGAAGCAAGTGAAGGAGGGAGCATGGGTCAAACATGGAAGTGCGCATATGTGCATGTAAAGCGCAACCCCCCCCCCCCCCAAAAACACAAAAACCAACCCTCTCAACACCCGACCTACAGACCACGACACAGAACTATCTCCCCCCCCCCCTCCCTCACAGCAGAATCCCCACCCTCTGGCTTCTTGTTGCCGTAGACATCGCCGTACAGCTCCTGGATCTCTTTGGTGATTTCCTTCTTGCGCATCACGCGGAAGGGCTCGTTTTGGTTGATGGCCTTCTTCTCGTCGAGGAAGCGGAACCAGCCCTGCGTCGGCGTGTCGTCATCCTCAATCTCGTTCAATGTAAACGCCATCCCGCCGAGGAAGGTGCCCCGCTTGCGGCCCGCGTCGTGCAGCAGCTCGATGCGCAGCCGCGTGTTGTCGCGCATGCCCGCGGTGATGGCGGAGATGTCAAAGGTGAACGTCTGCTCGAAGACGGCGCGCTTGCGCGCGCCCTTGACCACCTTGGTCTGTTGCTTCATGACGGCGTCGCAGCCCTTGGGCACGGGCCCAATGGAGATGACCGCGTAAGGGTTGGCGTCGTCGTTCTTCGTCACCGTGTGGAAGTCGCGGGCCTCATCAACCTGCGCCACCAGCTTGTTCTTTGCAATGTCCAGACGCACAAACAGGCGACCGCGGTGCACCTTCTGCGCACCCATGCGGCGCTGGTGCTTCTTGTCCTTCTTCTTGCTGCCCTTCTTGCTGCCCTTCTTGCTTGCCTTCTTGCTTGCCTTCTTGCTTTCCTTTCGCTGCTGCTTCTCTTTCTTGCTTGCGGCCTTCTTCGCCGCCTTCTCCTGCTTCTCCTTCTCCTTCTGCTCCTTCTTCGCCTCCTTCTCCAGTGCCTTTTGCTCCTTCTTGCTCAGCTGTCTCTTGACACCTGACGATGACGACGACGACGAGGCCTCGGCCTCCGCGGCCCCGTCCGCCTCACCCTCGGCCTTCTGCTTCTTCTTCTTCGACCCAAACAGCGGCATCCTCAATCTGCGTGTGTAGGTGTGGGTGTAGGTGGGTGTACTGGAGTGGAAGTGGACGACGAATGGGCCCTTAGCTCTGGCTGGTGGGCTCTGCTGTCTGTCGTAAGGTCGCAAA